GCACTGGTAAGAGAGACAAATAACCAAAGCCAGATCATTAACAAGCACAGAAGGATGGAGTCAGTTAGCAGAAGATTGAAGGAAATCTCTTTTGTTGCTGCATAAGGGCATTCCACCAGTAAAGATTTCAAGAGTGCAGCTAAATATGTTTCCTGTTTCCTATTTGCTTGGTCTGAGATGCATCCTAACAACATTTTTCCCTATTTCACTAAGTTAAAATAAATACTGTCCTCCAATGAGGACGAGAAGTACAGATGTATCACCTGTCTTCTGGTTAGGAAGACATGCTGATCTGATGGGTTCTCCAGTTGCAATGGGATTTTTGCATTTGTAAGGAGAGAGCTAATAAAACTTATGATGAGTGGAAGAAAGTAAGAGATCCTCCTTTGAACAGTATTTTAATGGTAGTGTTACTTCAGGGAAGCAAGGTGGGGACCAGAAGCTAAAATCTAATGCTAGTCTGCTGCTTACATTCTGAAAAGAAGTCCAGAAGATGGAGCTTAAAATCTGCCCAAGGTTCTAATGAAGCTATGGTCTGGAATAAACAGCTTAGGGATCATTCAGCAACTTATGTTTTATTGAAATATGGAAACTAAAAATTAAAAACATGAAAGGAAGACTGCAATAGTTATAAGAGCATGCAAGGAATCTTGGCAAAAGTTTAAATAAAACTTATTCAGCTGTGTAATGAAAAATATTTAATTCCATTTTAAATGCCATCAGTCTTTGTTTCAAAAGGCAAAAAAAAAGCCAACAAAAAAAACAAACAGCAAACCCACCAAAGTTGTGGTGGAAAGGTCTTGAAAAGCATCCCAGCTTGAGGAAAAAAAAAGAAGCATTTGTGTCACTAACCTAGATGGGAACGCTCTAGCTAGTGCTGTGTTTAGATCAGAGTTCCGTGAAGGGGCACCTGAGGGAGCTGTGCATGAGCAAGCCATGTGCTGGAAACAATCTCGCTTCTAATAGTAAGGAGCTCCACAAACCCTAATTTATCCTGTTTTAAGAAAACACACGTTTATGAATTCTCCATTTTGCTTTTCTGCCTGTACATGTTAGATCATCAGTGTAGGATGCAGTGAAGTAAATAGACGATAAAAGCGTTGTTGTTGGATGTGATGCCATGTCTGGATGAATATTCGGTAACAAAACGCTGTATCCCACTCTGTCAGCTTCCTTGTTTCTGCTTTGCTGAGCTGAGCTGAGCCGCCTGCTGTAACGCGACATGAGATCCAGCGCTGTATTGCTAGCAGCACACTTCTTCATCTGCTCACAGATGGAGTTCCTCCTTCTCTTCATGGCACTGAGTAGAATTTTTGCAGAGACGATACTATAGACTGGCACAACAGGAAGGGTTTTTAATTTTTTTCCTAACAAAACTCAGTGAAAATCTTCAGAAACTTAGCATGGCTTGTCTGCTAGGCTTTGTGCGGTAGCTGCTTTTTATTTCTGCCGAGCAGCTCTTAAACACACTGCAAACCAGACTGTGCCAAACAGATGACACTTTCTGTTATGTTGTAAGCTGTTTCCCAGATTACTTCTTGAATGGCACGAGAATACAGCTCAGCCTATCTGCCTGGAAAGGAGAGCACAGTTCTGCTTTGGACACAACCAAAATGGTCAGGGAAGCTTGAAATAAGAAAGCCTGACAGATTAGGGTTTTCTGGGTGGAATGTGGCCTTTAAAACTCTCTCAAGAGAGTCACATTTTCTCTTTCAATGACATGTCTTCCAATAAGTCCTCTCATTTTCACAGTGTTCTTCAATATGAAACGCTAAAAGGAGAAGCCACCTGCCTGATTCACGAGTAGGTCAGCATTTGATGACCGCATTAAGAGTGGCCTTTCTGAGTTGTCCTCCTTGCTGTAAGACTTGCTGTCCCTTTCAAATTTCCTAGATTCTAATACTCCGTTATGGAGGAAAAAAATGAGTCCTTGTATTTCCAAATCGCCACCGTCATTGAAGTGTTTGGGTTTTGTTTTAGACTGTTTCTTCCCCAGAAGTTTGCAAGTTGATGTTACAGATACGGTGCCACATAGAAAAGGTGGTTTTCCATGCTAATGTGAAACTCTGTCTTTTTTTTTTATCCTGAAAAAAAATCCAACATTTTTAGCATGGGAAAATACCTTAAAGAATATATTCAGACTATTTAAGTGTATTTGGTAATGTAATTCTCAAGCCTAACATCCAGTTCATTTTCAGTGTGGCCTAACACTTCTAGTGTGACATTACTGAAAACATTCTGATTAAAGCCAGCTCTCTTATGCATACTTTACCTCTGTGACCTATGAGTAGCTTGAAACCATTTGAACTCCATCTAAATTGGATCCCCCTGGTTGTAAGTGTTACTGTGTGTCAGTTCTGTGTCAGTTGGATGGAAATCTTGCTGCAGAGGATGAAAGTTCACAGCTCTGTATTAATCTACTGGGCACACTCCATCTAATGCCTTCAGTTTTCTTGAAATGCAGCTGCTGATGACCTCTGACAGGTAACACGCAATATAGGATTTTCTAATATTTATCTTTAGTGTAAGTATTTTAAAAGTATCTTCTGCACGAAATAGATGCTAAGAGAGACAAAATTAAGAATAGTGACAAGTAGGTTACCAGAAAAAGAGATTTCTGTTAATAAAACGTATCTGGGCCCATTAGCTCATAATTGTCTTTTTCTCAAAACAGAACATGCAGCTCCTGGCTTCAGTAAAGGAAGCTGTGCACCAACAAACTGCTGGCTGTGATTCCCCTGATGTCTGTAGGTTCAAACTGGTGTGTGAAGTGGAGTTTAACAAATATCATATATATATTCCTGAAGCTTCATGGCTTCTGGAGCAAACAACATAAATCATTGTAAGGTAGTAGAATTTATCTTTAACTCACAGATAGGAACTACTAATTCAGCACCAGCTCTGATTTAAAAGAGAATCTGTATAGACTTATCCAGCCTGAGTGCCACTGTTGTCAACATCCTCTGTTACAGTGCAACACAGAATCACAGAATGGTTGGGTTGGAAGGGACCTCAAAGGATCATGAATCTCCAACTCCCCTGCCACAGGCAGAGCCACCAACCTCCACATTTACACTAGACCAGGCTGCCCAGCGCCCCATCCAACCTGGCCTTGAACACCTCTGCTGTCTCGCTGTTACAGAGTCTTAAATTGCAAGTACATTACATTTGGGTTTGCTTTTGAAGTGATCTTTTTTGTGCAGAAAATTCCAAGCTAAAACAAAGTCTAATAGGTTCCAGTCTGTAAGTTTGCAACTTGATCTCATTTCCATTAAAGCTAACATTAAAGCCTATGTCTTTTTCAGTAGGAGGAGGATTTAAATATTGAGCAAGCATCTGAAAGGAAGCTAATCTTGCATTCCTTGCAAACCCCAGATTGTCTCTGAAAACAGTGAGGTTTGGTAGGCAGAAGGAAGTCTGAGGTTAAGTGCTGGTTTGTGATGGGAAGATGATGACACTGGGAGGGATGCTTTTCAGGCACTAGGCATGAAACAAATACAGCTTTCTCAAAGCCCTGTGCCTGGAAGGATTCAAGGCCAGGCTGGATGGGGCCCTGGGCAGCCTGATCTGGTGGGTGGCAACCAGCCCATGGCAGGGGGGTTGGAACTACAGGGGCTTTATGTTCCTCGCAATCCCAGTCATTCTGTGGTTCTATACATGGAGTATTTTAAGACACTAGCTGTCAGATTGCTTCTTAGAATGGTTTGAGTGTGTTGTTTTTCTGTTGCTTCCACTTTAAAATCCAGACTTTTAGAAGATTCTGAGAGCCTCTTTTTCCTGTGACTCACGTGCAGAAATGGATTTTTGATGGCAATCTGTGAATAGCTCTGGAACCTGAGGGTTCTCTTCTGCCAGTGGCTCCTGGTGCCTGCTGGCTGAGTGGAAGGCAGAGGCCAGAGATGCTGCAGCAGCACTGCCACGCAGTTCTCTGCAGGTACATACATGGCACCTGCACACATTCTAATATACATATAACAGTATGGGCACTCTTGCAACTGTGTAGCAACAACAAAATTTAAGAATAAAGTAGCAGCAGCTTGCAGACTGGCAGTCTTGTGGCTTGTGGTCTTTGAGCATTGATTTTTGCTTTGTTAATTTGGCAGTACTGAATGCAGGTAACCGGCGTTCTGACCCGACAAACATGGGGAAAATCCATCAGATGAGAGAATGTTTTGAAATCACATGAGTGTGTGCAGTTATTCAGATTTGGGACTGAAAGCAGTAAAGTATGGACTGATAACGATAACCTCTTTCTTTCCTCTTCTTTGACTCACATTCTTAATTATAATAGAGAACCCGCAACCAGAAGAATAATTAAGTCATTGAAGAACTTGTCTAGATGGTAAATTTTCATTCTAAGCCTTCAACTGTGCTGTGGGATAAACTAAATTTGAAAGAATAATAAGCATTATTGAAACAAAAACAGCAAGGCGTGAGGTGGTACAGTTTAATAAACTTTGCTGCATGTGAAATAGCTGATTAAAATCATGTATACTTAGAGAAGTTGTTATCAATAACAAATGTCTCATCTCAGATATAAGAGTCTGATGTCAGAGCAGGACAAAACATCTTCCAACTATAGCAGTTTAGCAAGAGGTAAAGCCAAGGACTCCTGTGGAATGAAGATGATTCTATAGCTTCTGCTCTCTGATCCAGTAACATAAAGTATAGCCTCAGTCTGTAGCTTGAGCAGAAGCTCAAGTATATACTTGTTCATGTTTATTCTAGAATTTTACCTTCTTAAGGTTAACAACTTGTTCTGAATGGTTGTTGTCTGACTGTTAGTTTATCTTGCATCTTGGCAGAGATGACAGCTAATCTCAGGAAGTCATCTGTCCAGATTTGACTTAAAAGCTACAGAGTTTTGTAGGTCTGACCCATACTGTGCCTGCCACAGGCCTTGTGGAAAGCTGGTGTCTGAATCCTTACTTTTCCCTTTGTCTTTTGCTCTGCTATTTCTATATTTTAATTTTGTTTTTCTTTTCACTTCTCTTTTCCAGAGGTGACACATCTCAATGGATGGGCCATTGTGACAGTGAGGGTGCTGCAAATTGACAATGGGACTCTGCTTCTCTAAGCCACTGTCAAAGACTATGGTGTGAGCAGATCTGAGAGCACAAGAAGAATCAGTGGGAATCTTGGATGGACAAAGAGGTACCCTGGTTACATTTTAGGTGAGATATATATAATGATATGAAACATATATGTTTTTCTTTTAGAAGGCATCTTTCAAATCACAGTTGTGAATTTGCAGTAATGACATCACAAAAGATAGAATTGTGTCTAGCAAGTCTGAGGGAACAAAAATATAAACTCTGACAGAAGTCTCCTTAAGTCCATAGCTTGGGTTAACAGTAAGTGACAATGAAAGTGACTTTTTAACATGCAGATTTTGAGATCACCTCATGCGAAAGGATGATATCAAAACTCATGGAAATCATGCCTAGATTACTTTATAAACTTAAATGTATTACCAGAAAATCCTCTCAAGATGCCATTTACACTTTTTCTACTAAGCCTCCTATCTGTATATCCCTTAATAGAAGGAAGCCTTCTTGATATTTATTAACACAACTTTCTAATTAGGCTTATTGATAATTAATCTGGATATATCCATGTGCATGCAGAAGGATCTCATTATCATTCTTTTAAAGTATGATATAGGACCTTCAAGAGATGCTTGCTTATGGCTCTTTTCCATTTCATGTTTTCTGCTGTGTGCGTGCCATGATGAGATTGTGGGTATAGCTCAATTTTCAAATAAGAACACACTTTAAAGAAATTAGCACTTGGTATCCACAGCTGCATTAATATTGATGTTGCCTTTGGCACGTAAAGATGTTGTTATGGCTGTAATAAGTATTTTGACACAAAAATTTTCATTTACAATAGCACGCTTTCTATTATTTCTGGGTCCCCTTTGTTTGTTTGTTTGTTTTTAAATTTGTATTACTTCCTGATTGTTGTCCAGCTCTACAAGCACTCTCTAGAGTGGCAAGAGGAATAATATAGAGCTTGGAGTCTATCGTTTGCATTCCCTTTGCATTAGGTGTAACACTGGCATGAAAATTAGAGCCCTTGCTCCAATTTTTCCAGCTGTCTCTGTCTCTCTGTGATCTTTTCGTACAAATTTTCTGGCACGTCTTTGAATATGCAAGCTTATATCACTTTCTTAAGCACACATGTGTTCCTGTCTCAAAACATGGGTACAACTGAATGGAATCTTTATTGTTGGTTGTTGGTTTTTTGTTTTTGTTTTTTTCTTTTCAGTAATTCAGATGTATTTACCCATATTATCAAGTCAAGAAAACATCTGTTTTCTTCCCTTGTCCTCTTTTTCCCAGATTTCAGTGTAAGTTTGTCTGATTTGTTTTCATTCAAAATCTTGTGAATAAAGCAATATCAGGATCTTTTCACTGCCATCTTCAGGTCTTTATTTGTAGAGTACTTTTACAGCTTCAGGAATTGTTAAATTTTGGGAAATAAATGCCATCTTACTTCTGAGGTATATTTGTTTTATTTTCCTTAGGAATATTATTGCTTTAAAACTGTAGTATGTTTTCTATTTTGGTCTTTTTCTGTTGCCCCAGGAGATTACTAGGATTTGCATTGGCTGAGTGCTGTTCTTATTCTGCACATGGTTATGGGTAGGCAGGCGAGAATGCCAGGGCCAAACATGGTATTCTATTGGAAGAACTTGTGCCAACATTTGGGCTTGAATAATTTGGAGGAGACACGATGTCACCGTCTCCATGAAGTGAATTTAAACAGGAATGTTTTGTTGTATTTTGGGTATGCATTTCAAAAATAACAATGAAAATAACTTCTTGTACGTTTCCTTAATTTCTGCATTTAGTCTCTGGTTTCACAGTCCTTGCCCTGCATTTCTCATGTCCTAGAAGTATTTCTGTTTCATTATTTTTCAAGCAGAGTTTGATGACACTGATTTAGCAGTTTCTCACAGTTCACTGCTTCAGTTTTCATCAAATTATACTTCTAGTTATACTAGACACCTTCACCATCAATTTCCATATGCCTCAAAGACATGCAGGAACCAGTTTGCCAACACTGAATTCAAATGCTAGACAATAACTGGAATAGAGGATTTTTTTTCTTAGGATATTCTGAGACAAAGGGTGTAGAATTGCTCAGCTCTTAGCATGTGGTTTCAGCCTGTATGCATTCAAAATCTAGACAATAACTGCTATGAAATATTGATCTTTACAATGTCAAATCAAGGAATAAAGATGAATGCTAACCAGAGATTTTACCCCAAGATCTGACCCTTTTCTTCCCAGAGCAACACTAGGGAACAACGCGTGTGAAATCTAACTTCTCTCTTTCACCACAGAATGGAGGCTTCATAAACGTTTTGTGCTGTGTTTTCTGTACAACAGAATTTGATAATTATGGCAGTTAACATCTAGTGAAGATTTTGGCTGTGGGCTTTCAGATGTACTTTCAGATCAGCGGTGTTGCTGGGGACATTCAAAGACTCTTGAAAATGACTGTGAAAATCTTTTCCTTCCTTCAGGGAGTCTTGTTCTTAACTTTGTGCTCAAACTGCAAAGATGTCCATACTGGAATGCTTGACCTCTTTAAGGGCTTTTCATTATGTTCATCCTACAGTTCCCTGCAATTTTCTATAAAGGGAACATCACCTGGCCCAAAGGTAATTTGGAGCCCACAAACTGAAACTAGATGTAGATGTGCCAGAGACCATGGCTCTTACATCTGTCAGAAGTTAATTATGCAAGGCATGAAGTGAAGCTCTGGTGCCTATTTGTTTAGAGGTAAAGACATCAACTCTGAGTAACTGTTAACAAAAGTCAGCAGCAGCAGGTGAATTTGCAATTAAATGTATAGCCTTCCGAAAACAAACAAACAAACCTTTCTGATACCACTGACTTCTCAGAACTCATGGGTATGCAGTTTGTCTTACATCCATGAGCAGAAATGTCATGTGGACAGTCTGCCATAGGATGAATTAATGCAGAAGGAAGGCAGTTGCTGCCTAACTCAGAGGTCAAGCAGAGGAGAGGTTTGTGATGCTTCTTACTGTGGTACTGCATGCCTCTTTCCTGCCAGAATGTGAAGTTTTGAAATTTCTTAGTACAATGAGCTTTGTGTGGCTGAACTGCAGCTGAAGTAAACTGAAGGCTTTGGCTTTGGCTGGATGCATTGTAGATTAATTAGCTGGTAAAATGATCACTTCAGAAAAAGGCATCTACCTTCTGCTAAATAGGCAAATTGATATGTAACAAATAGGATGTTTGAACCACCTCATAGTACTTTCATAGTTGCTTATTCAGTGCCACAGCTTGTTGACCAGGTGACCCAAACACCTTTCCTTGTCGCATGTCCCGAACCTTCAGAATCTGGAAACAAACCTAAATGTTCCTGCAGTAATATTGTTGCAATAATTGCCATGCATCAGACAATATTTTCATCTGCATGTATGGACAAAACTGTTCCTGCCTGCTCTGTTATGAAGAAATAAATCACCCAGACTTTGTTCTCAATTTTGAAACAAATCAGTTCTATCCCTCAAGCCCCCGTTTATTGGGAATGGTTTCTGCTCTAGGTACCTTGACTAGCAGTTACTTTGAGACTTTTTAAAAGGAATATGATTCACCTACTGCTTTTTTTGCATCAGTTTTTGTCTCTGCAGAGGAAGTTCCAATCAAATATTTTATTTAATTTAATGAGGGAAAAGCAGCAGTCATTATCCTGTGACAGGGTTCCCGTCCATCAGATAGAAAATGAACACCCAGAGGACAACTAGTGATACTTCCTTCAGTCTTGCTTGATGCTCTACCAGCATTATAATGATGTGTTCCCCTCTGCCTGCAGATTCTGACAGAAGACTTCAGTTTTGCTTCCTGAAGAGAATTGTCCTTCTTCCCAAAAAGCTGGTGTACTTGTGTGGAGAGGCCATGGATTCTTCCTGAAGATAGTGTGTTCGCTGGTGTTTGACAGGTTAGTGTGTGGGCACATACTTGTGAGAGGAAGAAGTCAGATAAAAAGTTGTAACAGTGGAGGCTGCAAAAATTAAAAGCCAAGAGGTGATATATTTTTTAAAATTTGTTTTTTTAAGGTTTAATTACCTGCTAGTTCCTGTCTCTGATTTTTGGAAGGTAAAGACACTCTAAGAGCTGAAAGAACAGCTTGTATGTTCAAAACTGGTTTTGTTGCTTTGTTTTTATATCTAATACTATGTTTTTCTGTTGTACGTGTTGTTGGCCACCAAATGCTTGTGACTTTCAGGCTACAAATGAAGGAAGAGAGCAATGGAGAACTTTTCATCCATCCAACTGCACTCTGCAAATTTCAAATGTGGTATTTGCTCAGTGGGGCATAAAGCCTTGACAAACAGAATATTCCCAGCTGTCTTTACTTCCACAGTTACTGAAGAATTTTTAGTTAAATGAGTGGAACAACCATATTAAGATACAGTTCTTGGCAGAATTGCAGTGGTGTATATTGAAATATGGTGAATCTAGTGACTTAGTTTAGGTCACTACTAGCAGCTAACTACTGGATCCAACTCTACATTCTTAATACCTTAACAAATCAAAATATGTGTGATCTAGCACTGCAGGTGCTGCACACCAGCACATCCCAATCTCTAAAAGCTGAAATTGAGTTCTCTGTGCAATGCAAATGAGAACCCTCCTTACCATGGTCTTAAATGGGCTAAAAAATCCAGGAAATACCTGCATTAAAACAAAAACAAACAAATGAAAAAGCCTCCAAACGACAGAACAAAGCAATGAAAAACTCTTAAAAACCTCCCTGATACTGTGTCCAAACCAAAAGATAGTGTGAAACACTGGCCTACCTTTTTCTGAAACTGTAACATCCTCTGTGCCAGCCTTGGTCCTGTGCTGCTGACTGCAGCGTGGGACTGGGGAAGCAGAGCTGCTTTAAAACCCTTTTGGCCTTTTCAATAGGAGGCATTTTTATTAACAGATTCTTTTTTTCCTTGATTTGTGTCCTTCAACAATAGAAGCAAAGAAAAAAAAAAAGTGATAGAGGAATGGAAGAGTTGTAGGAACACCCTCAAGATAGCGTTGTTGATCATTCATTACTGTGAGGTATGGCCTTGTAGTCAAGTCTTGCCTCCTTGGGTCAGGTGATAGGATATTCCTGGTATACCTTACTTTGAGAGTAGCTTTACAAGTCATGGAGCATGATAAGGCACCAAAAGATGTAGTACATCCTGACCGGGTTGGATCTGTGTCAGGACAATCCTTTAATCACAGATCAGTGTCATGATATGCAGTTGCAGAATTTGTCTGTTTTACTTCCTTTTCTTTTTTATCCCTTTTATTTAAAAGATGACTCAAAAGTTTGTATTACATAGGGAACAAGATCTGAGGAACATGCTGTAAATGATACCTTTCTTGTATTGCTTCACAAACAGCAAAGAGTCACAGAAGAGTATTTGCAATCAGGGCATGATAGATTTTGGAAAATCTCATGAGATTGTAGTACGTTCTAATTTTTAACATCCATCAGGTGCATCTGTGCCATACCTGCCATGGATTTGTAGAAGCGAAAGAATAAAATCCAGGGCAAACTCTGACCACAACTGAGGCTTCGTGTACCATATACACCTTTAAGATGACAAGTAGGAAGTATTAAAGTAAGCAAAAGCTGCTTATTTTGAACTTCATCCAACTAGAAAAATCAGTCCTGTGACGCTCGCAGTAGGCAGCTTGGTTACTTTTTGATTTTTCAAATGTATCTCCGAAATCCTGTCAAAATTAGATTAGTTGGTCTGCATCCCAGCCAAAATAAGGATGTTTTCTTTGTCTGTACTCACATACTTGCATTTTGAGCTGCTTTTTTTATTTGGAAAGTAAAGGTGGCGAATAGAACTCCTTTCCTCTGAAAACCTTTCAATCAATTTAAGAAAGCTATTTTTCCCTCTGATAGCAACTCTAGGGCCAGTGCATTTCTAGAATAGGTGCTTTGGAAAGCACTCTGTTCTCAGAGAGCCAGAAGACAAGGAGTTTGCTAAGAGTTCTGCTACAAGTTATCACAGAGCTCTTTGAGCTTTCTCTCACCTACCAATACTTCCTCCCTCTCTTTTCTGCTGTGCTAGAAGCTCGTTGGTTGTTATAGTGCTGGGGGCTCTAGATGTGCTAGAAAGAAAGGAAAAGCCTCGCTTCTGTGACTGCAGAGAAGGGATTCAGCAGGTTCTGAGTCAAACCCACTCACGTCCCCTGGTATTTTTATATTTACGTGGCATTGGTACCAGTGAAGCTCTCCTATCCTCCCTGTGTCCTCTGTTGCTCTACCCACTCCCAGCTCCGTCCCAGCACAAGCATTAGTGCAGCTGGGAGGTGAATCAGAAGGGGAGGCTGTGCCCTGGTGCTGGCTGCGTGTCCCCAGAGGGGCTCACTGCTCACACAGGGCTGGGTGGGTGGGCAGAGTGCTGCGTTGCTGATTTTTCCTGGTGTCAGTCAGCTAAAAATATGTGGCAAGCTACAGCCTCAGCCTTCATTGCACTCAAAGCTTCCTTGGAGATGCTGCTTTGATTTGCAGAGCATTTTGTCTGAAACAGGATTGTTCCTTTGGTCTGTGGTGTTTAGAAAAAACAGCAGTAATAAAAGATCAGAAAGGTCTAATGTAAAATTAGGGGGAAAAAAAACCAAAACCACGCGATTCAATTATTTTTTCAGGTTGATTTTTCTTCTTGTCCTTCCAAACAGGACAACCCATCCTCGTGGATTTCTGTCTCACAATGCCTGGACCCTTTTCATTGTTTTCAGCAACAAAGAAAATCCCCTCTGTTTGCCATGCATAGCCAAAGGTTGGCCTGAGCCGAAATTATTTACTGGAAATTCATAGGACACAGCATGCTCTTAGAAGCCTGTTCCTAGCAGGCTCTCATTTTTCTGCCCACTTCTTAGGATTTGTTTTCTTCTTTGCACTATGGATGTATGGCTGGAAGTCCTCTTCTCATTTGTTGTCTGGAAGCGAAGGAACAAACACATCTGCCTTCGCTTCTTTACTTTGTCACCATTGTGGCTGCTGACACAAATGCTATAGCTTTTTTTTTTTTAAAAAAAAAAAAAAGCCAAAAAGCCACCAGCAACCTCTCTGATTCTGCCTCCTTCGCTTCTGTGTAGAAAAGCCCCAGTTGCCCTAAGACAATGTTCAGCCTGAAATGACAAGCCCACGCTGCCGTTTCTGTTTTTCTCCCGGCTGCCGAGGTTAGCTCATCTCCGGCAGAACGCAGCACTGCAGTGCTCTCGAGCCAGGAAAGGTGCGCAGCCTGTGGAAACCTTTTGGAGGGGTTGTTTTTCTTTTTCTTTCTTTCTTTCTTTCTCTCTCTCTCTCTCTCTCTCTTTTTTTTTTTTTTTTTTTTTGGCGTGTGAATTGGCGGCGTTGATGTTTTCTGTCTCCCCGGGCGGAGGAAAAAGAGCCGCAGCGCCGCGAGATGCCGAGCTGCGGGCAGAGCCGCGGGCAGGGGCCGCCCTGCGGGTCTCGGCCCCGGCCTCCCCGCCCTGACCCCGGCACGGAGCCGCCGCTCCCGGAGGCCTCCCCTCCCCTCCCGGCTCGGCGGAGGAGGCTTTGCCGCACTTGGGAAATGCAGCAGCGAATCCTCCCTCCCTCCGTGCCCGGGGGGGCGAAGTGCGAGGCAGCGGGAGGAGCTGTGTGTGCGTGTGTGTGTGTGTGTGAGCGAGCAGCGCTCCGCGGCCGCCGCGTTTCCTGGTGCCTGCTCCCTGACCCCAGTGGCAGCTCCGCTCACTGCACCGCGCCCAGGCCGCCGCCGCCGGGCACCGCCGCGGGTCGGGCGCAGGCTCTGCCCCGGCCGCGCCCCCGCCGCCCCATGGCGCGGCCCCGCCGCCCGCGCTGACGGCGTCCCCGGGCCGCAGCGGGCGCCGCCGAGGGGAGGTGAGCGGGGAGCGGGAGGCGGGCGGGGGGCTCCGGCGGGCGGCGGCGGAGCACAAAGCGGCGGTCGGCGGGGCCGCGCCACGGGCGAGAGCGGGGGGAGCCGGGCGGCAGCTCGGCGGCGCTCACTCACAACAATACGGCACCGCCATCCCCCCTCCCGCCGTGACCGTGCCGGGTCGGGGCGGCGCGGAGCGGAGCGGAGCTGCCCGCGGCCGCGGCGCGGTTTGCGGCGGCGCCGAGTGAGCGCGCCCTGCCCTGCGCTGCCCTGCCCTCCTCCCCCGGCCGTGCCCCCGCCGCCTCCCTCCGCGCCGGGGGCAGCGCGGGCAGGGCGGGTAGGCCGGGGAGCGTCGCGCCGCGGGCGGGGGGCGGGGGGCGCGCCGCGAAAGTAGCGC